GCTTTATGTTTAAAAATATCTCACACATATATAAACGAAATAAAACCTTTTTGAAGCGAAACTTTTTATTCATTAATTAAATTAATCCTTTATTTCAAGTTACAATATTAATGACAAGAAATTATGTCTGTAATGTATGTTGTTTTGATGAGTCATCAATGCATTGACGATTACAGTTACCAGTACTTATTTGGTATAAGCAATTACTAACGGTTTAAATTCACCGCCGTTCCACATCAATCGTATCAGGCAACTAAAGAATAACTTTATCGTGTCATTATTGATATCTGTGACGTACATCTTCGATTTTATAAAAAAAAGTATTAAGAACTTCTGTCTTGTTAGGTGCATTCTTATTTGCCTTTTTTACTGAAAAAAAAATGAGTATAATATACTCCAGTCTATGCGGTATTCGATGATTCACCTTCAATACGACTGGCGCCACGAGGTATCAGCTACACACCGAGACGTATTCGTCATAGTAAATTTTAAAATTACTAGGCACAATCATTAATATTACATTATTGTCACTTGTTACTCACATTACACTCACAAATATGTACAATAGATTATGCGGGACTTGTTAGTTTATAACCGATATTCTTTTAAACATTTTCATTTTACTATTTACAGAAATAATGCAACGAAACGTGTTAATTTTAAAAGCAATAGTAATAAAATCAATGGTCATGACATACAAACCATTACAATATCACAGAATACTGAGCATATAATAATTTTAGAACTAGCGATCGCCCTCAACTTAGCCAGTGAAGGACTAAAAAAACAGCCTACATTCCAGATAACATTGGTTTAACCGTTCCAAAGATTTTTTGGAACAAATGCGGTCTTTTGGCAAAAATGCAGCTTGTATATTTAAAATATTGGTTTATGGGTATTAGCAACGTTGAATATGTATGAAATATATTTTTTTATAGATATTACACACAGACACTGTAATTTTAATATGTCTTCATAGTCAAGCGATTTGAATTAATCCGCCAATAATTGGTAACGTTGACACTCCTGTGCCGGAATTGCCCCTTTGCAAAATTAGAATACCAAAATACTATCAATTATCGATCGATCTTTATAACAAACACGAAATATAATAATAACCATTGATTGTTAATAAGTTGAGCAACAAATACTTTTAAAAAATCTCTTCAAATAAATTTTTCGACAACAAATTAAAAAAAATAAACAACCGCATGTCAATATCATGTGACAGTTTAGACATTTGACAACAATGAAAAGATGAGAATAAAATAATACCGGTAAACTTTAAAGTCAGAGTTTTAAAAATAAATTGTGCATTGAATCATATTTGTGAATCTGATCAAGTAATATTTTTGGTTAAACCAGGTAACATCCGTTTATAAAAACCATAGCACCTAGTAATATGTCATATTTAAGCTAAAATTCTTGTTAACTTTCAGAATTTTGGCGCCAATACTAAATTAAGATATCTAGGAGTTTAAGAATGAATAAGAACAAACAATTCAAAGGTCCACCTCCGAAAAGGTTTAAATCACAAGATGATGATGATGACAATGAAGTACCTTGTAGTTTTGAGGATACTCTTGCAGGAATGGAGGTTGAGTTTGATTCACCTGAAGTAATCGGTGAAGGCCCAGAGAATCAGTCTACTAATATTAAATGGTCTCGACCAAACCCACCCGAGTTGGACCCTAAAAAAGATATCCTAGTATTTCAACAACTTGAAATTGACCACTACAATGGTCAACCAATGCCTGGTATGCCTGGATCCCAGTTAGGGCCTGTACCAATCATGAGAATGTATGGTGTTACAATGGATGGAAACTCTGTATGCTGTCATGTCCATGGATTCACTCCATATTTCTATGTAACAGTTCCTTCAAGCTTCACTGACTCCATGTGTAATGATATGAAAATTAATCTCAACAAAGTTATATTAGAAGATTTGCGTTCTAACAAAGACAATATACGAGAAACAGTATTAGAAGTTCGTTTGATGCAAGCCCGCTCCATTATGTATTATAAAGGTGATCAAGATTTAAGGTTTGCTAGGGTATCTGTGGCCTTGCCTAGGTTAATAGCTGCAGCAAAGCGCCTTATTGAAAAACAGCCACCATCCTTTGGATTAATGGACCCATCTTTTTATGAAACTAATATAGATTTTGATATCAGATTCATGGTAGACACTAATGTAGTAGGATGCAGCTGGATAGAATTACCTGTTGGAAAGTGGTTGATAAGATCTAGAGACAGCAAAGTAAAGCCAGAATCAAGATGTCAAATTGAAGTTGATGTTGCATGGAACAGTTTTATTGCACATCAGCCTGAAGGTGAATGGTCCAAGGTAGCTCCATTTAGAATATTAAGTTTTGATATCGAGTGTGCTGGTAGGAAGGGAATTTTTCCTGAGCCTAATCATGACCCTGTAATTCAAATTGCTTCTATGGTAATCAGGCAAGGTGAAACTGAGCCATACCTTAGAAATGTGTTTACATTAAATACTTGTGCCCCAATAGTTGGTTCCCAAGTTCTTAGTTTCCAATCAGAATCAGAAATGCTTGCTAGATGGGCAGACTTTTTTAGAGAGCTAGACCCTGATATTATAACAGGATACAACATTAGTAACTTTGATTGGCCATACCTCATTAATCGTGCTAAACATTTAAAGGTTGTCAATTTTGACTTCTTGGGTCGAATAAAGAATATAAGGTCAGTTATTAAAGATTCAGTTTTACAGTCAAAACAAATGGGGAGGAGAGAAAATAAAAGTATTAACTTTGAAGGCAGAGTTCCCTTCGACCTGTTACTTGTGCTTGTTAGGGATTATAAATTAAGATCTTATACTTTAAATGCTGTGAGTTATCATTTCCTCCAAGAACAAAAAGAGGATGTGCATCACAGTATTATTTCTGACTTACAAAATGAAAATGAACAAACAAGGCGAAGACTAGCCATGTATTGTCTAAAGGATGCATATTTACCACTGAAGCTATTAAATAAGTTAATGTGCATAATTAATTACATGGAGATGGCAAGAGTAACAGGAGTTCCCTTAGTATGTTTGCAAACAAGAGGTCAGCAAATCAAAGTTGTAAGCCAACTTCTACGGAAAGCTAAAGAAGCGGGATATTTAATACCAGCTTACCATGGCCAAGGATCTGATGATCAATTTGAAGGAGCAACAGTAATTGAACCAAAAAGAGGATACTATGCTGACCCCATATCCACATTAGATTTTGCTTCCCTATACCCGAGCATAATGATGGCTCATAATTTATGTTATACAACACTAGTGCCTCCAAACATGCAGAAAGATTTAAATTTAAATTCAGATGACATAACTATTACACCAACAAAGAATATGTTTGTCAAATCTAATGTTAGAAAAGGCTTGCTACCTGAAATTTTAGAATCCCTGTTAACTGCGAGAAAAAAAGCTAAAGCAGACTTAAAAGAAGAAAAAGACCCATTCAAAAGGTCAGTTTTGGATGGTAGACAACTAGCATTAAAAATAAGTGCTAATTCTGTGTATGGGTTCACAGGGGCGCAAGTTGGTAAGTTGCCCTGTTTAGAAATATCAGGCAGTGTCACTGCTTACGGCCGAACTATGATTGAATTTACAAAATCTGAAGTAGAAAAGAAATACACTAAATCAAATGGTTATAAAGAAGATGCTGTAGTTATTTATGGTGATACTGATTCTGTTATGGTAAAATTTGGTGTGAAAACACTTGAAGAGAGCATGGAATTGGGAAGAGAAGCTGCAGAATTTGTTACATCAAAATTTGTTAAACCTATTAAATTGGAATTCGAAAAGGTATACTACCCTTATCTCCTTATAAATAAAAAGCGATATGCAGGCCTATACTTCACGCGCCCTGATAAATATGATAAAATGGACTGCAAAGGGATTGAGACAGTCCGGCGAGATAATAGCCCTCTTGTTTCAAATATGATGAGTACTTGTCTTCAAAAGCTATTGATAGACAGAGATCCTGAAGGAGCAGTTAATTATGCTAAACAAATCATATCCGATTTATTATGTAACCGAATTGATATATCACAACTTGTTATAACAAAAGAATTAACAAAAAATGATTATGCCGCAAAACAGGCTCATGTTGAGTTGGCTGCTAAAATGAAAAAACGTGATCCAGGTACAGCACCAAAGCTTGGTGACCGAGTTCCTTATGTTTTGTGTTGTGCTGCAAAAAATACACCTGCATATATGAAAGCTGAAGACCCAATATATGTGTTGGAAAACAGTATACCAATTGATTTTAATTACTATCTAGAAAACCAGTTGTCTAAGCCATTATTGAGAATTTTTGAACCTATTTTAGGTGATAAAGCAGAATCACTTTTATTAAAAGGAGAACATACTATGACAAAAGCTATGGTGACTTCCAAGGTTGGTGCATTGGCAGCCTTTACTAAGAAAAAAGAAAAATGTATTGGATGCAAAAGTGTTATGCCAAATGACACTAAAAAGGCATTATGCGACCACTGTTTGAGTAAAGAAGGGCAACTGTATATTACAGAAATGTTTAAATTGAGACAGTTACAAGATAAGTTTTCAAAGCTTTGGACCGAATGCCAAAGATGTCAGGGAAGCTTGCATGAAGAAGTTTTATGCACAAATAGAGATTGTACTATTTTTTATATGCGAAAAAAGGTAGGAATGGAACTTGATGTGCAGGAAAAGACTGTTTTGAGGTTTGGTGAGCCAGTTTGGTAAAATTGAAAAAAAAAGCATGATCTGTTTAAAATAAAACAATTAAATTTTTACAGTTTTTTCTTTTATTAATATTTTATACATGCTATAATTTAAAACAAATTAATCCAATAATATATCACATTTTTTCAATACTTCTTAAAATTAATACAATTTAATAAGCAAAAGTTTACTGATATGGAATATTTTCAGTAACAAAAATATTTTTAATAAATATCAATTTTCTTGATAACGGCACTTTTTAGTCGACTTCAAACAGGTTATCAATTCGTCTGAATGTTTTTTTTTATATGTGTTACCGCGTAATAAATATACGAACTGTTGCACTTGCTGCTATTGGTGCAGATCTAAAATACATTTTGATTCTGAAATATATTTATTTAACTCTTCCTTGAGATATCTATCTGCTCCCATTTAACTCTTCTTTACCAAACTACTAGTGCATGTACTAACGCATTTAAGATAAAATATTTTTATCTCCTATTCCATTTTTACAGTTTTACCGTTCACTCGAAATTACTATCATCTTCAGATTATACAATAACGAAAAAACCGAACGAATCTTTGTTCTTTACATTTATATATTATTCACATACATGGATGTACTGAACCATGAATTAGAAAGAATATAATGTTTTATTATTTTAATTAAAAAGTGTACCAAAATTCTATTCAACAAATACCTATGTACAAGCTCTTTTAATATTAAGCAAAGCAAAATAAATTTAAATTTTATATAAGGACTTTACACTTCTTACTATAAATTATTATATGTGCATACCCATTGCAAGATATTCCACTAAAAAAACCTTATTCGCTGTAATTTAACAAATTATAGACTTTATTCATAAGTCATAGCCATCTAAAATATTTATGATGTCATGAAGTTAATCTTTTATGTTTTTTTATTATTTTAAGGTAATATTAAAAGCCAAGAACCATAAGTTATTATGCTTTTTACAACAAGTTACATTGTAAATAAGATATAGAACATATGCCAAGACTAAAAGAAATTTTGTAATAACTGTATGATTACTGTAACTAATTTAATTAAAATTAGACTAACAAATCCTATTGTAATGTAAAAGCAAATATGACCAATTTAGATATATTTAACTTTAAAAAAAATCAAAAACAATTTTAATAATCTGACTACAGTACCTTATTTACTGACCTTTGGCATATGTTTGAGGTATGTTCCTCTTGTAATGACCAAATTAAACTCCATACAAAATTTATATATCTCAGATCTATGCTATCTTAAACTTGAACAAAAATTATATTTTTTATTTCATATAGTTAAACATTATATATTAAATTTTCACTACCAAAAAATAAACATGAAATAAGACTTAAAAGATTGCTGTTTGCTTATTGGTAGTAGAACATATATAAAACTAAAATTACATTTTTAAACAATAAAATTTAAATACAAACAACCAATTTAAGCAACTTTAGGTATAACTAGTGACTCCTACTTTAAATTATTTCCTAATTAAGTAAACTGACAAGGAAAAAAAACGGTATTGGAATTTTATAGTTTTGATGATTTATCTGTTTTCTTGTGAGACTGTTCTGTTTAAATGAGATTTTGTATTTTTTGAATTACTCTGTATTTTATTTAAATTTGGAATAGGCATTTCATGTGTAGCATTACCTCCACCATAGTTAGCTAGTCTCATTATTTCTTCCAATGTCTTAATAAATGTATCACATGTAGCTTTTAAAAGGTTAGCTTCTTCTTCCACTCTCTGAAATGTTAAGTATTTTATTATTTTTCAATTATATTTTCTCACAAAATTTATATTTGACAAGAGAATTCATAAAATAAGAGTGTTTTTGAAACATGTGATATTCACAGTAAACTCTCCATCTCTTAGGTTGTTATGTTACATTGGATTAGAAGCATATTCTAATATGTTGGTAATCTGAGACAACTACAAGTTAATATTAAGAAAGATCTGTATAGATTTCATGAAAATCAACTACCTATTACCTTATTCTCTGGGCTGTCAGTGTAAGATGCACTTCTTATTAAATGCACCTGCTGCATCATTAGGTCACAATACAGCCTCAATTCAGACTTTTTATGTCCCAAAGAATTATCAAATTCTGGAGCTAAAAGTATAAAATACAATTAATCAATTACTGAGCAAAATTAACTATAATCAATTATTATAGCTTGTTAAATACCTATTGTATCAGTTTTGTCTACACATGCTTTAGCACTTCCCAAAGCAACCAGCCACTTTTGCCTGTCTTGAGGAGATGGTGCCCGTAAATACATGTGTTGCTGACCAGGTATAACTAAATCCAGTCGGGTATTGTCGATATTATTGACTGAAAATATATTATCATACAAATAATAAAGTCAAAAGGTATTTCGCAAATGCACAAAATTTGTAATAAATTATTACCATTAATTTGACATACTGATACTTTCACCGAGCCTTTGCATCCTTGAAACACTTCCTCTTCTGATTTATAATAAGATAGAATACCGTTCTCCAGAACGAACCATCTTGTCTGCCAACCTATAATAAGTGTAATTATTGGCGTTATATAGAAATTAACCATTGATAAATTAACATATTTATACCTTACCGTTCCAGTAATTTGTCCACTTCCATAAAACACCTTCCATCACAATCGAAATAGAATTGTAGTTTATTTATTTACAACTGCAACGACAGCAAATTTTATAATAAATGTCAATAAAACATTGTCAATAAAACGTCAGTAAAATAATTTTTAATTTCAGTTCACCTCAGTGCCAAAGAGTATATAAAATAAGAGACGGGACTCTTGACTAATTAGATACACAAACGGAGAATAAAAATTGTTATTTTCAATGCTAGCAATATTATGCACAAGTCTAAGTTGCTACCAACCTAAAAAAAATAATCTGTCAGTTTCCTTTTTGACGTTTGAAAGTATTATTCGAGGGAAAACAATTTAGGAAAAATAAAACCATTTCGTTAATTGCAACTTTAATTTAATCTTCTGACTAAAGCGAACATATTGTAAGAACGCAACATAATGCTCGCTGCTTTCGTAATAATACCATTATTGTTTTTTTCAGTTCACCAACAAAATACCCCAACTTTGATAAATGCTTCTTTGTTCCAGTTTGTTTATTTGATAGGTCATATTTTCTGATAAAACTGGAGTAGTAGTGTCACTCTTGTCGGGAGAAATAGAATAACACTGGAAAGAGATTAGCTCCTATCTTTTGGTAAAATATTTAGAAAATTTCTAACAAGACAATATGCATTGAAGCAAAACAAATCGTCATCATCATCAAATGGTATTCTTCTTGGTATTCTTCTTGGGACGCCGTTGCCTCCTTCTGCGAAGAGGTGATTTCGCAGAAGGAGGCACAGGAGCGGGAGCGCGAGAGAGACCCTCTGGCGCCCCCGCTCCGACGTCGGAGAGTGGGGAGGAGAAGGCGGCAATATGTCGCCGCCCTCCCCCCCTCCCACGATAGCCCTCGGGTAATGGATGCGGGGGAGTCCATTGCCCGCCATTGAGGGCGGCCTCCCCTCCCCCCCGTGAGGGAGCTGCCTCGGCAGCTGGCGCAGACGGGGCCGCGGACGAGAGCGAAAGCGTGCCCGTGGTCCCGTCCCGATGCATCAGAGGGCAGTCAGGTTTTAGTGGGTATTCTGGTCACCTTCTGTGGCCGGCAAGTCTCACACTCCCTACGCCATTGCACCGCCCGGCGTAGGCGTGCGTAAATGCATTTCCTGACTAAAAAAAAAATGGTATTCTTCTTGGTATTCTTCGTATTCTTCTTGGTATTCTTCTTCGTATCCTTCTTGGTATTCTTCTTCTTATTCTTCTTCTTGGTGTTCTTCTTCTTCTTTTTGGTATTCTTCTTCTTCTTCTTCTTGGTATTCTTCTTCTTCTTCTTCTTCGTATTCTTCTTGGTATTCTTCTTCGTATTCTTCTTGGTATTCTTCTTCGTATTCTTCTTGGTATTCTTCTTGGTATTCTTCTTCGTATTCTTCTTCGTATTCTTCTTGGTATTCTTTTTGGTATTCTTCTTCTTCTTCTTCGTATTCTACTTGGTATTCTTCTTCGTATTCTTCTTGGTATTCTTCTTGGTATTCTTCTTCGTATTCTTCTTGGTATTCTTCTGGGTATTCTTCTTCGTATTCTTCTTGGTATTCTTCTTCGTATTCTTCTTGGTATTCTTCTTCGTATTCTTCTTGGTATTCTTCTTCTTCTTCTTCTAGGTGTTCTTCTTCTTCTTCTTCTTCTTGGTATTCTTCTTCTTCGTATTCTTCTTGGTATTCTTCTTCATATTCTTCTTGGTATTCTTCTTGTTATTCTTCTTGGTATTCTTCTTCGTATTCTTCTTGGTATTCTTCTTCTTCTTCTTGGTATTCTTCTTCTTTTTCGTATTCTTTTTCGTATTCTTCTTCGTATTCTTCTTCGTATTCTTCTTGGTATTCTTCTTGTTATTCTTCTTGGTATTCTTCTTCGTATTCTTCTTGGTATTCTTCTTCTTCTTCTTCTTGGTATTCTTCTTCTTCTTCTTCTTGGTATTCTTCTTCTTCTTCTTCTTCTTGGTATTCTTCTTCTTCTTCTTCTTCGTATTCTTCTTGGTATTCTTCTTCGTATTCTTCTTTGTATTCTTCTTGGTATTCTTCTTGGTACTCTTCTTCGTATTCTTCTTGGTATTCTTCTTCTTCTTCGTATTCTTCTTGGTATTCTTCTTGGTATTCTTCTTGGTATTCTTCTTCGTATTCTTCTTTGTATTCTTCTTGGTATTCTTCTTCTTCTTCGTATTCTTCTTGGTATTCTTCTTGGTATTCTTCTTGGTATTCTTCTTGGTATTCCTCTTGGTATTCTTCTTCGTATTCTTCTTGGTACTCTTCTTCGTATTCTTCTTGGTATTCTTCTTCTTCTTCGTATTCTTCTTGGTATTCTTCTTGGTATTCTTCTTGGTATTCTTCTTCGTATTCTTCTTTGTATTCTTCTTGGTATTCTTCTTGGTATTCTTCTTGGTATTCTTCTTGGTATTCTTCTTGGTATTCCTCTTGGTATTCTTCTTCGTATTCTTCTTTGTATTCTTCTTGGTATTCTTCTTGGTATTCTTCTTCGTATTCTTCTTCGTATTCTTCTTGGTATTCTTCTTCGTATTCTTCTTGGTATTCTTCTTCTTCTTCTTCTTGGTATTCTTCTTCTTCTTCTTCTTCTTGGTATTCTTCTTCTTCTTCTTCGTATTCTTCTTGGTATTCTTCTTCGTATTCTTCTTTGTATTTTTCTTGGTATTCTTCTTGGTATTCTTCTTGGTATTCTTCTTGGTATTCTTCTTCGTATTCTTCTTGGTATTCTTCTTCTTCTTCTTCTTGGTATTCTTCTTCTTCTTCTTCTTGGTATTCTTCTTGGTATTCTTCTTGGTATTCTTCTTGGTATTCTTCTTGGTATTCTTCTTGTTATTCTTTTTGATATTCTTCTTCGTATTCTTCTTGGTATTCTTCTTCGTATTCTTCTTGGTATTCTTCTTCGTATTCTTCTTGGTATTCTTCTTCGTATTCTTCTTCGTATTCTTCTTGGTATTCTTCTTCTTCTTCTTCTTGGTATTCTTCTTCTTCTTCTTGGTATTCTTTTTGATATTCTTCTTCGTATTCTTCTTGGTATTCTTCTTCGTATTCTTCTTGGTATTCTTCTTCTTCGTATTCTTCATGGTATTCTTCTTGGTATTCTTCTTCGTATTCTTCTTGGTATTCTTCTTGGTATTCTTCTTG